ATACCAAGGAGTTGATCAACTGCTCTCCCTTATCAATGTGTTCACTGACTCACAGGAAGTGAAATTCACCACCCCCAACTGCCTTTCGGGCAGTTTGTTTGACTTATTGATTTGGGTGGGTTAACAGGATCCCAAGCTGGTTATCATTCAACCTTTGCCCTACCTTTGGCTTGTTCCTTTATTACAGTCTAAATTCGATGCCAGGAGTCCCTGGATGGCAGATGTGGTTAAAGCACTTGAGTGCCGAATAAAAGGCTGGAGGTTTGAGTCTACCCAGAGATTGCCTTGGAAGAAAGGCCTGGGTGATCTACTTCAAAACAATCAGCCATTGGTTTGGAAACCCTACAGAGCACAGTTCTACTCTGACCCGCACAGGGTCACCATGAGTCAGAGCTGACTGGACAGCGGCTGGTGGAGGAGATCCTGCTTTGTGTAGGTTTCCACCATCTTCCCCAGACACGGGGATCAGAAGCCTCTTCCTCCAGTGGTGCCCTAAGCAGTACTTTCCTTCTGCTGGGCTCAGCAGGGAAAACCCACTTTGCAGATGTTGAAAATGCTTCTCAATGGTGCCGATAAAGGGAAGTTGAGTAACTTCAGGGTTCAAAACAATGAAAGTCATTACACAAGATCTGATTCCACATAGCCTGGGCTTCCGTGGCCTGGCCACGGGGAAGAATAATATAGACACAGATGTGTGTGTGTATGTGTGCGTAATACACTTACATACAGGCCACCAGGTCCCCCTTCAACCTCCCTTGGCTTCTCTCAGTTCTGTTGTCTTTTGCTTTGCCCTGTTAAAAAATCCTCCCACAGAGATAGCTATTGGGATGGGCTGGTCTCTGTGGCATGCTCAGAACAGCACCTGGCCCGCGGTAAGCACAGTGTGTATCAGCTGGCGTGCTTCTGACATCTCAGTGATGACATTTTCCAGGCTCCATTCCTCCTGAGCTTGACCCAACCGATCTGCAGCTCCAGCCCTGAACTTAAGTCCTACCTAAGTCCCTGTAACTTTCCACAGGAAGCCTCTCACCTCCCACCACCGCCTCACATACACACCCACAGACCAGCTTCTCCTCCCCTCTCTGATTCTAGACCTCTGGGCTGGAGCCTCACCGAATGCTATCAGAGAAACCTAAACCTTAGTCCCTTTAGAAGATGGTCTATCGTCAACTCTTCCCCTGTCCATACCCCTAGCCTAAGGTGACCAGATTTTAACATTGGTAAAGCGGGACACCATTGATAAAACTCATATCCTGGTGAAATAGCCACCTGGCAGCTGAAAACCGTATGCTCTAGCTTGTCCTGCACTCTTTCCCAAAATTGGTACTTTTTAAAAATGCCGCGGGACGCGGGAAAAATTGTTAAAAATCGGGACTGTCCTGCCAAAAGCGAGACATCTGGTCACCTTACCTAGCCCTGTGCTCATCCATGTCAAAGGGTGTGCGGTACAACTGGAAGTCATTCTTGTGCTGAGTGCTAGGCACAGGCTATTTTAGAATGCAACACCTCCTTGAAACAGATGTGACTGTCCGAGGCCATGGGGCTCTCTCCTGCCTTTTCCAAGGACTGAATTAGTAGCAAAGACTGGAGTGCAAAGAAGGGAATGTGGGTAGACTCAGGAAGGAGGTTAGCTTTCCCATCTCTAATTCCTTTTTTTTTGAGGGAGATCTTGGTGACGTAGTGGCTACACGTTGGGCTGCTAACTGCAAGGTCAGCAGTTCAAAAGCACCAGCTGCTCCAATGGAAGAAAGATGAGACTTGCTACTTCCATTAAGATTCACAAACCTGTTTTGAGAAACGATGTACAAATGCGCTTTACACAATTGATGTGTGTATGGATTGCGATAACAGTTGTATGAGCCCCTAATAAAATGTTAAAAAAAAAAAAAAAAGAAAATCCAGGGAATCCAGGGCGGATGAGCCCTACAGGACCAGTGATGTGAGTGGTGAAACAGGGAGGGTAGAGGGAGAATGGGTAGGAAAGAGGGAACCGATTACAAGGAACTGTATGTGACCTCCTCCCTGGGGGACAGACAACCAAAAAGTGGGTGAAGGGAGACATCAGACAGGGCAAGATATGACAAAATACCAATTTATAAACTATCAAGGGCTCATGAGGGAGGGGAAAAATGAGGACCTAATGCCGGGGGCTTAAGTGGAGAGGAAATGTTTTGAGAATGATGAGGGCAATGCATGTAAAAATGTGCTTTACACAATTGATGTGTGTATGGATTGTGATAAGAGTTGTATGAGCCCCTAATAAAATGATTAAAAAAAAAAAGCAGTGAGTTTGAGTTTGTCATAAAGAAGCAATGTTTTGTAAAAGATGTCTGTCAGATTGCCTGTCTATCACTCCCTTACTGCCATCCAATCGATTCTGACTCATAACGACCCTGTAGGACAGGGTAGAACCGTCCCCGTGGATTTCCAAGACTGTATCTCTCTACCTCTTTTTTTTTTTTTTTTTATATATGGATTGGTTTATATAGCATGAATGAATATAACAGCTAATTAGTCCACACAGCAGTAGGGTTCAGTTCAGCTTACTTCCATGAACAGTTAATATACTGGAAGTCCTTCAACACATAAGGGTTGCTGGGTCCAAGATCAAGGAAGCAGCCAGCTGAGTCTTCCCTCGGGCAATGCAGGCAGAGTCCAGCCACAGGCAGCAAACAGCAGGGTGGGTCACCAACAGGCAGCAGCTCAGGAGCTTAGGGAAACAGGCCTGGATGGGATATTGAACTCAAGCAATGCAAGATCACAGGATCCACCAGCCTCAAGCTCTAGCGATGTACACACCAGCAGCGTGGTGAGGCAGGTCTTGAAGGAGCCTCAAGCTCTAGTGACACTATTGACGAGTTGTCTTGTCCCACAGGTAGTGTAGCTCACAGTTGAGGCAGAGAACTAGCTAAAGCAGCCACACACCAGAGAGAAAGAGAGAGAGGGATGGGGTTTGCAGAGCCATTTATCTCTTTGCCCTCCAATCAAACTGCAACCTGATTAATCCCACATGTTCCTATTGGCCAGGTTGGCACAATACACCTACTTATCAGTGCATCATGGGGCTTGGAAGAAGTTTAACCTTGTCACTTCTTTACACATCTTTGGTAAATCGGTGCCCAGGTGTGATAGCTCTCCCTTCCCTGTGGGCCCCAGTTAGAGCCTGTCTCTTGGCCCGGTCTCAGGAGGGAGGCATCGGAGGCAGCAGTGAGGACCCAGAGTCCTCATAGGAATTCTTACTTGAAAAATGAACAGCCCTGACAAATAGCTCATCTTCATCCAAAAGACTGATTCTCCGAGGGTCTCTCTACCTCTTACGGGGTAGAAAGCCTCATCTTTCTGCACCAGAGGGGCTGGTGGTTCAGAACTGCTGACCTTGTAGTTAGCAGCCCAGTGTGTCACCACTATGCAACCAGGGCTCCTTTGCAGGCCCATACTGGGCCTCAAGTGGTCCCCTTCCTCCCAGCTCCCGTACATCTTGCTTTTCTATCACCCTTCTAACTTCATCCCTGACAGCTGTTCTGGCCATGTCCAGACCTCCAGGGAATCTGCCCCGGGGCCAGACCTCACCATCCCACCTTATGCCCCATCTTCTGTTCTCAAAGAGCCAGCCAGGCAGCACCTGCTATCTGTGCCTCTCAAGGAACCTGCCTTGGCTCACATGAAGGTCTCAGCCACCAAACCTGCCTTGGGCCTACCAGGACCTCACGAACCCTGCGCCTCATCCCATCTTATATATGTGGCTTGTCTGCACAAAAACGTTTGAGAATGGTGGTGCTGTGTTGAGGTTGATGGGAGATAGCCTCTGAAGAGGCTTTCCCCAACAAACAGGTGGCATAGTGCCTCCAAAAGGCCTAGGTGAGGGAAGCAGGAAATCCCAGGACCACACTGCAGTAGTTCAAATCTCAGCTCCTCCACATAAGACAGACTACAGCTGATTCCTAGCCCTTACTGTTCTCACCTATAAAATGAGGTTCCTAGTGCCTACCTCATAGCATATAAAACCACGATACAATGTGGCGATGTAACAAAACACCCGGAAGGGACATTCCTGGCTCACTGACGTAAACAGTAATGGCACTACCCTGAGGGACTTGAACGGAGACACCTCTTGAAAGGTGAGTGAAAGTGGCTTTAGGAAGTCCAGAGGTTGGAGACAGCGGTGCACATGGTGGGAAGGGTAGCCGAAACATTCCAGAGGGGCACATTTTGGAGACAAATACAAACCCTGGAGGAAGGGACAGCTTTTTTTTTAAGTTAGGTACCCTAGACACCTTACGTTCCCATTTAACCCACCCCATGAAGTCTTATTTTATAAAAAAGGTTTGAGATGCAGTGTAGTGACTTGTCCACTGTGACCTAGCTGGTGTCCAGTAGCGCCGTGTCCCCTCCAGAGTCACCAAGCACTAGCCTTCCCTCTCCAGTCCCAGTGTGGAAGGGGGCTGGCCCAGAGGGTAGGCAGATGGAAAGAGGGGGTGACCAAAGGAAGCAGGTCCCCTATGGGGAGCCCTATTAGCAGAGGCCTAGCAATAGGTTTTAGGTCTGGGGAAACCAGGAGGAAGATGAGGATGGGGACGTCTTCTGGTAATCTAAGCCCTGCCTGCTCAGAGGCTCACCTGACACCCTGCTGTCCTTTCTCTAGGCTGTGCTCGGTCTGGGTCAGTTTAAGAAAAAACAGGTGAACTCGTCCTCCCCATTCTTCACAGGAAAATTCAGACCCCCAAACTCCCTGTCCTCCACCTCCCTCCAGACACAAGTCACTTGAGCCCAGAAAGCATTTCTGGAACGTGATTTTTCCATGAAGGAAGTAGAAGTTCACCTAGCAGATTCCCCCCCCCACTTTTTTTAGACTTGTGCCTCAACCAACCCAGAAAGCCCCAAGCAATTGGGCTAGTATTGGGCCCCAACTCTTTGTCCAGGACCCCACCCACTCCCTCCCCCACTTCAGTCTCCCAAAGTATATGGACTCTTCTATGTGAACCATGCTCCAAAACACAAAATCAATGTATTCAGCAGACATTTTAATTAAGACATCCTATAAATCAGGACCACCACGGGGTCAGACACTCCGCTGCGAAGTGCACATCAACAGCTTCATCGGGAGGATGAACAGGCCATTGAATCTTGTTTTTAAAAACGGGTTTAGCAACCTTAAAGTTGGGAGGGAAGGGGGCACCTTTCTACAGTGCCATCAAGTTTCAAGATGGTCAAGCCGGTGGGTCCTCCTCTCGGAGAGTCACATTTTTTTTTTAAAGGTCCCAGTCACAAAGAGCTGGCAGGGCAGAAGGGCACCGTGCCCAGCGAGGAAGTGCAGACGCTCAGGCCCCCGGCACCAAGAGGGGCCAGAACACGGCAGAAGAAATGTCCGGGTTCCCACACCCAACCTGGGCAGAAAGAATTGGACAAGAAAAGCGGGCAGGAGGGCAGACGGATGGAAGAGCAACTCCAAAGATTGTTTATCATGGTTTCTGAGAAAGCTCTGGCATGGCCAAGAGTGGCCTCCCAGGAGGAGGAGTTCTGGAAGGAAGAAAGCTCTGGAAAATGGACTCTCTCCACACCTGTCATCCCTCTCTTATGCCCGTGTCCTCGTGAGACTCCGAGTGGTGGCAAAGCAGCCAGGGCTCCTGGTGGAGCTGGAGGCTGAGAAGAACCAGGGCGGGTGAGTGCCCTCTCAGGTACTGAACTTGCAGCAGACTGTGACCTTGACCCACCAGTGGCAAGGTCAATTCTTTTCAAAAGTCCACATTCAACCCAAACTGTCTCCACCTTCTGAAGTCTCCAGTCTGTCCCTCCCAGGCCCGCACCAGAGTTTCCCTCACTATCCATCACCACGAGGCAAGAGAAAATGGGGTGATACCAACACACCCACCACCAAGCCTTCCCCTTGTCCCTCCCTATTCAGCGCAGTTTCTTTGCACAGCAATTATAGCACCATTTTCACGATGCTCCTCCACCGGAAAATAGAGAGAAAATGTATGCATGCGTGTGATGAGTTTTCAAGTATTGTTGTTATAAAGCCCTCCCACTTACCGCCCTTCTGAGCCCTATCTTTAAAACAATCCAAGATCGTGATGCCCCCAAGGGCTAAGGGTCAAGGTCTGAGAAGATGCCAGTAGCTGCCATAGATCACCCAGTTTGTCCCAGGTTCTTGGTCCCAGGAGGGCCGGGGCCAATTTTCACGCAGCAGCTGGGCGCACCGGGCCAGTGAATTTATCCACTCTAGTTTTTACTGACAGTCTCAAAGGACCGTAACTTCTTGGCCTGAAGTTCGGTCTCTCCCCACCGCACCCCGCCCCCCCACAACCTGGGCAGTCTCTCCCAGAGTAGCACCCAAGGCTTCGGATCAGGACGGGTGGCGGGGTGAGGGCGGCGGTCTGGTAAGCGCGGCAGGCCTCGTATTCCTTCTCCCGGGGGCCCTGGTCAGTGCAGGGTGCCCGAGGGCTGCAGAGCGACGGGATCTGGTCCGCTGAGGCCACCCCCAGATCCAGGGGCGCCCCCAGGGCCTGTGGCTGCAACAGCAGCGACGGCTCTCTGGAGCCTCCGCACCGCCTCTTTGATGAGGTTCCCCGAGAGCACAAGCTGCTGCAGAAGCCGGTCGTCGTTGGGGTCCTCGTCGCCTGCATGTGTCCCGGCCTGGGGCCGACGCCGCTGCTGCAGGCGGCGGGAGGCGGCGGCTCCTCGGAGCCATTCTCGGCGGCACGGCCCGGGCAGCGGGCTGGAGCCAGCGGCCAGCTCGGCCACGCAGTAGGGCGCCGCTCGGCCCCGCACTCGGCCCCGATCCCCCAGGGTGCAGCGCAGGGCTCCCGGGCCCGCGGTCTCGGCGGACGCGGGCGCGGGGGACAAAAGCAGCGGCAGGGCCAGAGGCCGGGCCTTGTCCCCGGCCACCACCGCCGGGGGCCGCGGGGGCTGCAGCGGAGGCCCCGGGGGCGCGCCCCGGGGGGCCGGGTGGTCGTGCGCCGCGTCCAGTTGCAGCGTCTCGCCGATCTGGGCCACCAGCCGGTCCACCTCGCCCGATCCGCCGAGAGTCACCGACTGCTCCAGCAGGAGGAAGCTCTCCTCCTCCTCCTCCGCTTCCTCGCCGGCTTCCTCTTCCTCTTCCCTCCGGCAAGGCATGGCCCTCGGCCTGGGCACCCGGGGTTCTGCTGGCGTCGCCGGGGGCTCGGCTCCTCTCCGAGCTCGGGGGGCTGCGGCAGAGCTGGGTGCGACCCCGAGGCCGAAGCCAGAGCCGGGCCGATGCGAACGAGGAAAGCCCGAGCCGGCCTGGCACTCGCCGCACACCCGGAGCCGCGGGAGCCGGAATCCTACCGGCTCGGGTTGATTTGTAAACAATGGGTGACGTAGTGCCGGACTCTACCAAAGCTCCGGGACCGGGGGTGGTGTGTCATTCCGGAGCAGGGTGCCTGCAGGTCTGGGGCTCAATCAGGCCAAGCTCTGCTACGTCTGAGCTGCGGAGCGCTGAAGGCCACGAGTGGGAGTCCACTGGTGAGCCGATTCGCGCTTTCTCAGCTGGCAGTGATTGACATTCCCAGGAGGTGGACACCGACGTGGGCCCCCTTGGTTTCTTCCACACACAAGCACATTCACTTACGTACAACACCTACACACACCTCTCCTCCAAGGACGACAATTCTGGTTTTCGTCTTGACGCTTTCCTGGTCCTGGGTGCTGGCCCTGGGGGGTGGTTGGTGACAGAAGGGCTGGCGGGGAGAGGACGAAGAGACGCCGCGGTTAATAGAGATGGAAGGGACGCTAGGTGGGGAGTGGGAGTGGTGGAGCTAGAAGTGGCAAACAAGGACCACCCATGAATGAGATTAATATTTGTCTTTTCTTTATTTTTGTATATATCAAATGTTTTTATTGTGATATTCTGGGGCCGGGCTTAAATTCTGTCTCCTTTGAAGTCTCCCAATCCTGCTTATATTAGTCCTTATTGTTTTATGTCATCTTCTATTCTTTTTAAAAATCATTTTATTGGGGGCACATACAGCTCTTATCACAATCCATACATACATCTATTGTGTCAGGCACATTTGTACATATGTTGCCATCATCATTTTCAAAGCATTTTCTTTGTACTTGAGCCCTTGGTATCAGCTCATGTTTTCCCCTCCCTCCCCCACCCTCTCTCCTTCATGAACCCTTGATAATTTATAAATTATTATGTTTTCATGCTTACACTGACCGATGTCTCCCTTCACCCACTTTTCTTTTGTCCATCCCCCAGGGAGGGGGTTATAGGTAGATCATTGTGATCAGTTTCCCCTTTCTACCCCACCTTTCCCTTCTCCTCCTGGTATCTCTGCTCTCATTATTGGTCCTGAGGGGTTTATCTGAGATTCGTATTTCTTATAAGGAGCTTTGGTGGGTGGGCTTGGACTAGGGCTGGAGACAGAGGGGGAGTTTTCACACTTGGGAGGACCTGTGAGCATTAAGATTGTGTTACGAAGAATACCTTAGCCCAGTGGGGAAGGGTCTGCTGTAAGGAGGGATCGGGAGAGGCAATGGGGAGCATCTTGGAGAGGAAATGGGGAGCATCTTGGATGGAAATGGGACTTTGTGGTTGACTCCATGGTTAACCAAGTCTTCCGTTTTTTACTCTAAGGGGTCTTTGGACCACTCTTCAAAATCCCACTCCCTTCAGGCCTAATTTGCCAAAGCTGCACTCCTAGGGAAACTTTTGGTGAGCCTGCTAAAAGCCAAAAGGTGTTATGAAACAGACAAAATAAACCCCCTGCCTTCTGGTTGATTCTGGTTCAGTGACTGTCTAGGTCAGGGTAGAACTATCCAAGGCTGTAAAGATGTACAGAAAGATTTCCCTATCTTTCTCCCAATGGGTTCGATCAGTGCCGACACCAGTGCACCCCACTACAGCCCTTTGTGGGACAAGACCAGGGTGACTGAGATTGGGCTATTGTGATGGTTGCACATGAACTTAGTATACTCACTACAAATGGAACGTACTCTTCCGGTGAGTCTTCATTGTCGGTGGAATTGTGGTGGCTTGAACGTTGCTGTGCTGTTGGAAGCTACGCGACTGGTACTTCAAAGACCACGGTGGATAAGTGTCAGCAAAGCTTCTAGACTAAGACAGTAGGAGAAAGGGACAACAGGACCGCTTCTGAAAAAGTAGCCCCTGAAAACCTGAATGGCACGGAAACACTGATAGAGATGGGTCCCTCAGGTGGAAGGCACTGCAAATACGGCTGCCAAAGAGCTGCCTCCACAACGAAGCTCGCGGACACTCACACCAAGTCAAGTCTCATGACCGCACTGTAGGATACAATAGAACTGCCTCTGTGGGTTTCACAGACCGTAAATCCCTCCCTCTTTGTTGACAGTTCTATTAGCACTTCATCCACACGTCATACAATTCAGTAATGCTATCCTATCAAGAAGAGTTGTACAGGGAACCGATTACATGGAACTGTGTGTGACCTCCTCTCTGGGGGACAGACAACCGAAAAGTGGGTGAAGGGAGACGTCGGACAGGGCAAGATATGACAAAATACCCATTTATAAACTATCAAGGGCTCATGAGGGAGGGGGGAGCGGGGCGAGGGGAAAAAATGAGGACCTAATGTCGGGGTTTAAGTGGAGAGAAAATGTTTTGAGAAATGATGTACAAATGCGCTTTACACAATTGATGTGTGTATGGATTGGGATAACAGTTGTATGAGCCCCTAATAAAATGTTTAAAAAAAAAAAAAGAAGAGTTGTACAATTATCACCACATTCAATTCCAGAACATATTCTTCTTCCTTGTTGTTTTCATTGCTACTCATGTAATTATTATTTTTTTCTAATGGTGGCCAAATAAAGAGTACAAAAGAAAAGACCGCCACCAATCTTTAAAGGCCAGAGAAGAAACTTCTGTCATGGAACACGAGAGAAATACTTGAGCCTAGAGCAAATTCAGGTCAAGAGGGAGGTCAACTGACCAAGTATCATATGATCAAGGTTTGATTCACCACTATCAAGTTTACAATCATCTCTGATAGGAAAGCTGTTCAGGGCCCTGGCATCCTGAGGGCATCTGCCAGAGGCTTAATCTGAATAGTCTGCAGATGGATTTTGTGCTCCCAGTGTCCTCCATAGACTTCTACAAATTGGGTGTTCACAATTCCAGCTCTGATGTTTTTCCCTCTGTCGTATTTAAATTTTATTATTGCCATCTTTGGATCACACGAGCTGGTGTGCTTCTTCTGAGTGGACTTAGTTGACTTCTCGATTAGATGGCTGCTTGTTTGAATACAAGCTTTTAAGATCCCAGACACTATTCTGATTGAGAGCCAGGCACTATCTGCTTTCCTCACCACACTTTTCCTGTAGCACTCTTATCTTCAGTGATCATTTCCTGAAGGTAAGTGTGGAGCAGCCATGTGATCGGAACTAACTCTTCTTGGATTGGGGCTAGAGTTCAGTGGGAGCCCAGAATCCATCGGCTTGTCCCCGGGTTATGAATGACTGTGGTTTACATTGGCAGTTGTAGGATGACAAAACCCAGACCCACAAGAACAGCAACCACAACAAAACAAAAACCAACAAACAAAAGGCAAAAAAACCCAAAGAAACAAAAAAGAAAAACATTGTCAATCATCCCCTAGGGGTATAAGGCAATTACGTAGACAACATTAGTTTTCCCCAATGACATAGAATTTAAGATCTGGTTGAGATGAGTTTATGCAGGTATAGTCAGCTTAGAGCTGCCATCCATGAGCTGTTGCTTTGTGCGGATAGACTTCTTAAATGATTAAGCACTGTTTACACTGAGCATGGGGATTGGTGCATGGGCAAATTTCCCTGTATGAATTCTGACAGGTGCCGATCCTTGCCTAACAGATTAAAACCTGTCGTCATATTAATTCAAGAAGCGCATTGAGGTATTAAACATATGGTGGTTCTGGGTCTCCTTTTATTGAACATAGGAGGAGTATACATCTTTACAGGAGTAGAAAGCCTCCTCTTTCTCCCGTAGGGCACTGGCTGGTGGTTCCGAACTGCTGCTCTTGTGTTTACAGCCCAACTCGTAACACAACTACGTAACCAGGGCTCCTGCAACCATTTCGTGACGTCGTGTATGAGCAAAACCTGATATTGAATTACTGTCCAACTCTTCTTGGTGTGATTGAACTATCAAATCCCATGATTATGCGAGTTATACATCAATAAAATGGGGGGGGGGAGAACAAAACCTGATATTGAAGGAAGATATTCAGATGCACTGAAAACATTGGCAAAAAGAAAAAAAAAAGCTCTCGGAATTGATGAACTACCAATGGAAATGTTTGCATCAATTGATGCAGTGCGGGAGCTGCCTGCTCGCTCATCTATGATGGGACGTTTGGAAGATAGCTACTTAGTCAATCAACTGGCCGAGACCCATATTTGTGCCCATTCCAAAAAATTGTCTAACAATATCATTAATATCACATGCAAGTAAAATTTGCTGGCGGTAATTAAAAAATGATTGCAGCAATGCATTGTCAAGGCACCACCAGAAATGCAAGGCAGCCTCAAAGGAGGACAGGCAGGGGAGAAATGGTTGCATAAGGGATGTCAGATCGATCAGGGCTGAAGGCAGAGGCTTCCAGAGAGATGTTACTGGGTAACACACAGGGGTTGCCAGGAGTTAGAATGGACCCGCTGATAATGGATTTATGTCTATTAGCCATTTATTAATTTTATTGCCAAATAGTACTTTATAGAGTAAGTATAAAATTTATTTAGCTGGTATCCGTAACTAGATACCTGGGTTCTTTCCAGGTTATTTTTAATTTTTTTATTATTAAAATAAATTAGCTGTGGACACTTTTGTAGACATCCTTTTGTGGGAATATGTTTTTATTTCTTGGGGGAAAATTCTTAGGCGTGGAATTGCTAGGATATAGGGTAGGTATATGTTTCATTTTCTAAGAAACTGCCCTTCCTTTTAAAAAAATGGCAGTACCACTTTAGACTTGCTCCACATCCTTGCTTGCCAATATTTGATGTTGTCAATCTTTTACATTTCAGCCATTTGGGGGTGTAGGGTGGTGTTTGATTGTGATTTTAATGTGTGTAACATCGATGAGTAGCGAACACTTACTGTCCATTCATATATCATCTTCTATGAAATTCTAGTCATCTCTTTATCGTTAATTTGTTTCATTTGAGCATTTTCTTTTTTTTAAATCTTAATAAATCATTTTATTGGG